TTTTCCCCCCCCCCCCCCCCCCGCTGCTGTCTGTGCAGCCGCCCAAGGTGAACTTCACGACGAGGATCTACCACTGCAACATAAACAGTAACGGGGGGATCTGCTTAGACATCCTCAAAGACCAGTGGTCTCCAGCTCTCACAATCTCCAAGGTGCGATAGCTTGCCCCCCCCCCCCCCTTGCTTTTGGTGGATGGACTCGTGCGTTACTCCTCTCTCCCCCACACGCGCTCACGTTTTTGTTGTGTACCTGCTCGACTGCGGTAATACTCGAAAGACTTGGGAGCTTTTTTTTTTTATCATGACCCCCTTCCTGACAGCAAGCGCGTTGTTCAGCGGAGGCGTTGCCATAGAGACAGACTACCCCGGCAGCTTGCTAGACCTAAACTGTCCGCGTCGTCCTCCGCATGAACTGGGAGCAAAAACAAATCTGGCTCAGGCGTTGACCTTTTTGCTGTCCGTTGCAGGTGTGTTGTTGATGCCGTCGTCGCAGTTGCAGCTACCCACGGGAGCTCTCGTGCTGCAGCGTCACATGGTTGACCTGACGCGTCCAAAGTGTTGTTGTATGTCCCACCCACCCACCCACCCCATCTCTCTGCCTCGTGGCGCGCGTATAGCGCGCCTTCCTTGCAGCCAGCGTGGGCTATTCCGGTCTGGTTTCGCTCTCCCAGCTACCAGTTGTGTGTGTTTTGGGTTCTGCAGACCACCCATGCATGCCAAGTCCGCGTCGTGTCGTGCCCCACTGCTTTCGGAAGTATCTGGACCGTTGGGGTGATGACGTCTGTATCCGAATGTCCCTACTATTTTCGAAACTTGAGTGGTACGCCAGGCCATACTTTGCTCTTGATCATTGTTTCTCTTCTTCTTTCCCTTTGTGATGACGGTTGTCCGTCCCCCTCTTGTTTGTTGTTTTTCGTTTATCGTCCCCGTCCTCTCCTATTTTTTTTCCCAGGTCCTGTTGTCTATATGTTCGCTGCTGACCGACCCCAACCCGGATGATCCTCTCGTACCAGAGATCGCGCAGGTACTAGCGCCTCCTTACCGTCTCGATCTTCCCGAGCCTTTTGTTTGTGTTGGCATGAAGTCGTCCTTCTTAAAGTTTGGTGAACCGAGGCTTGTTGCAGTTGGCATGAAATCGACCGTGCACGGGCGCACAGTCGTTTCAGTTGTTTTTCCGAGTTTGGCCCCGAAGTCCCTCCTCCAGAATGGAAGCATCAAGTTTGGGAGATTAGGCAGGCGACGGCCGGTAGAAGTTACGCCTACCGGGCAGAGAGACGATGTACGACAGTGCCAAGAACCTAGACACTTTTTGTTGTTGTTGCGTCCGAGAAGATGGCAGGGGGCTCCGACTGACACCATGGGCACTCTTATCGTTTCCCCTCGCTGCCGAAGTTGCCGTAGCCTTAGCAAGATACCACCCCCCCGTTTTGAATCGATGTTTTCCAGCTTGATTTCTCCACGACGGAGAGGATGCTGAAATCGAAACATTCGTTTTCGGGGCACTGGAGGCGATGGAAAAAGTTCCGGACCGATCCTGTATTATTAGTGCGAAGACGCATTGAGGTATGGGCCCGGGTGTGTGTTATCTTTTGTGCAAACGAACGGTATGGCGTGCCGGCCGATATTTCCTGCCTGACTTCACGTTGAAACCCCTTGACCCCCCCCCCCCCCCCCCCCTCACGTGTTCCATAACAACCCAACCCCACCAGACGCCACAGCAAGGGAAAGGTGCGCCCATCACGCCATGGGATGGGGGAAGGGGGGAAAGGGGGAAAACG